TGTATATTACTAAGTCAGTTGCTATGACTCGGTTATGAGAATCCCTCAGGTGCTGTAGCAGGGAGTACTTTTCTTACAGCATACAGTCTGACCTTTATTCCAAGAGCTTTTCTTTAATAATTTTTAAGATTAATTTTGCCTGCTGCAAAGTTACTGCTAAAGTTAGCAGCAGATGCTGTCTGAGGATGGCAATGTGTTTTTGGTTGCCTTAGGTAGGCGCCAGAGTCAGTCTGTAGATGCACCTCATCTCATGTCAGTATTTGGGTGGTAAAACCTACTGAGGCGAAATAGATTGAGCAATGTTATATTGTAGAAATCTTACTAATCATGGCTGTTACTATGTTACAAATTTTCTGTAGCAAACTTTGTGACTGGCTGCAAAATTTTTATTTTTTTTTTTTTTTTGCCAAAATCTTTCAGCAGTTTGTCATTTTTACCTGTGTTTTCACCCTGCTTGAAGGATTTTGCACTTTTTTTTGGCAGTAGTTTACAAAGGAAGTCACATTTAGGAGTTTGGGAGAAGCTTTGTTTCTGTGACCTTTATTTAGAGGAAAAAAAAAAAATCACATCCAAGAAAGCCCCATGACTTGTCTCTGGATATTTAAAGGCATAAAATCCTAATTCAGATCAGATTTAAATTTTCAAGCATTTCTATGGAATACAACATGTACTTTTTGCTTTCTGAAAGTTAAGGATCCATGTAAACATTTCTAGGTCCTGATGTTAAAACATTGCTTAAACAGTAAAATTATTGCTTATGGGTTCTTATCCTAATGTATATGGGCTAGATTTATAGACGAAAACTCGTAGAATATCTAGATGAGAAAATACAGAATAGACTAGGTGCTTATTAACTGTAGCTCACTGGAGCCTGCAAGATATTTAGGTGACTGCTGCTGAGATTTAACATGTGCTATACTTGTCATGTCTCATTGTTTGGTCCTGATGGAGCTTTCTAGAATGGCACTGGGGAGCTGCTCAGTCGTGGAGTTCCGCTTTCTTGTCTCTACGTTCGGCAGTGATCTGACTGGAAATAACCAAGGGAAAAGTGAATATTTCTCCATGCCTCACAAACACCTTTCTAGAAAACAAGCTGATACTGAGGTTCATTTTTTGCTTGGGTGTGGAATGACAGTGTGATGCAGGAACCAGTTAATGCAGAAATTAGGAAAAATATATAGTGATCTTTTGAAATATTTAAACTTCATGTATGTGCAGAGAGGTCTTGCTTCAGTGAGTGCTGATGAAGTGTTCTGATTCTTTATTTCATTTGTGCCAGTAGACTCAGTTCTTCGGACTTTCGTCAGTATCTTGACAAGCCGAGTTGCCACTAGGTATACTCCCATTCAAAGAGAGAGATGTTGAGCGGAAGATAGAAGGTACAATCAAAAGCTCATACACGACTGGAACTTTTAGAGGAACTAAAGACTACCACAGATGCAGCTCTGTTCCAGTTCAAATGCAAAGTGTACTTCCCTCAACTGCAGCTGATTATTAACTTTCACATTTTAAAAGTTATGCAGGCAGTAGTACCAAAATACATCACGACAGAGTAGTTAAATGCTGTGGAAGTGAAAAGAGGTAATTTCTATGGAAATTTGGAGTCTTGATGAATGCCCCTATCACCTTGGTATGGAAGGAAATGCTTGGTGCGTGCGTCTGTTTTGTTTCCTGGTGGTTGAAACCCTGAACTTGTAAAAGCCGTTAGCAAAACTCCCGTTTGCTTCCCAAGAGCTCAGCTATCTGCATTTTCAGAGGAGTTTGAGTAACTCAGTGCTAATAAGTGAAGGGTGTGTGAGTGGAAGTAGGGTGTTCATTCGGTTCAGACACTGTGTTGCTGTGACAACTAGAATGAGGAAGAAGTTCATACTTCCCATTTAAAAAATAATAAACAAATACAAAATTTTCCTTCTCTTGGGCTGTTCAGTTTGTTTTTTCTTGACTTGGGGAGTTTGTGGTGAAGACTGGGAAATGATGAAAGCTGATGGCTGACCCCTTGCCTCTTTTTCTGTCTGTTCCCTGGACCAGTAGCTTACCCTATCACCAACCTGTATTATTAACATGCACAGGAATAGCATTGCTGGTAGAAGAATTTGTACGGAGTAAAACAGCTGTGAATTTACACTGCTATCCTACAAATTTACTATAAATCTCAATTGAAGTATGTGTGTTGATACAAAGAATTGTATCAACAATTAGAGACCTACATGTGCAGACAAAAAGCTAAACTATATCCTGTGGACTTCGCAATCTATCATCTGAACATCCTCTTATTACGTGTTGTGTTTGGCTGCCCAACTTTGTAGCTAGAAAGTTGAAAAGCTGGAAGTCTGATGTATTGTACAATCTGCATGTTTGTCAATATAGTGCAGTGTAACTTGTTTTAAAGATGCTTATGGTTAGCTGTAGAAATTTTCAAGACAAAAAAAGAAAGTCAATCACTGCTTTTGTCAAGACTTGGATGAAATATTCTGTGTATATCTCTTGATTGTAATGCTGTTGCTGACAACAGTGTTACAGGCAGCTGTCTGGTGAACACAAATATGAAAGGAGAACAAACAACGGTGAAGGACTATTTCAGTTAGTTCTGTAGCCTTTCTACACAAGGTAATTTGGTCTTTTGCTGTCTCTTCTCCTGAACAGCTGAGTTTTAATGTTTCACTTCTAACATTAAACATAATATTTGACTAAGAAGTATTTTTAGCCAGTGTAGTTAGCATGCTACTAACATGTCTAGAAATAGTCATAACTTTTAAAAGAAACAAACAATGTCAACAGTTCTGAGAAATATTATTTTTCAAACTAACTTCTTTTAGGTTGTTTCTTTGGATTTTATGCCTATAATTGTATTTTCTGCTAAATTGATGAAATTTCCTTATTTAGTCAAGACACCAAGACATAGAACCATTAATTTGCTATAAAGTTTGCCTGGGTTTGGTCTTACAATACAAATTCAATGCACTATTACCTAGAGTTTCCAAAAAGATCAAGGGTTGTTATGCCAGCCTCAGAACAGATAAGTGGGATTTAGGCTGGCTGGCTGACTGTCTGACTTCAGACTTCAGTCTGTGACCCAGAATAACTTGAATCTGCATGTGGTACAGACAAAGACAGGAAACAATACTGCAGAGAGCTAGCATGACTCGCAGGAGATTGTGCAGCAAGTACATAGGAAAGTACAAATACACTCCCTGCCACCTCATCTAATCAGATTGTTCTTTACTAGGGGATACTTCAGGGCCTGAAGACTCCGAGGAGGGTTTGGGACACTGATACAGCAGCCATTGCAAAATCATGCAGGGTTTGTCCTCATGGTAGCAGCAGCTTCTTCATTGGCATAGGTAGTGTAACCTGCAGGGCAGCAGAGATGAGCCTGACCTCTGTAGTTACATGCATAGTGAAGTTCTGGTGGGATGTGTCTTTCCAGTGCAATATCTTGGCAGCTCTACTAGAGATCATTTCATATCGTAGAGATATGAAAACAGTTATGTTTTGAAACAACCAGGGTGTTGCTATGCTGCCCTAATACAGGCATTTCTGAAGATGAAAGAAAATAATAATTGGCAGCAAGGACTGTTAATTGTGGGGTTTTTTTAAAAAAAAAAAATTCATAAGGACTTGAGTTTGCCAACTGTAGCACAGCTAGTACCCCACTTGACAAATCAGTTGGCCTTTTCATTTCCTTCTTTTCTGTTTAAACATTTAAATGTGCTTTGTCTCTCTCCCTGAAATTAAGTTTCAGCAGTGTCTGTTAACCAGAAGCTGACATGCCAGGAGAAGAGGACATTGCTTGGAAGGCACAGGGTTTGGGTTGAACAGTGGAAGTGTGGGGAACTGGTGAGGTTAAAATGTTGAACCTGTGAAGGTGGTGTACAGGAGAGTAGAAAGGATAAAGTTAAGACTAAGCACAGCCTGCATGAAATTGTTGAATTGTGTTGGATGCACATATGCTTGATTAGTCTGCATTCTCACTGCAAAACAGATTAATTACCAGTTTTGATTTGCACATGTATCCTAAGCTATGTCTCTTTAACTTAGATTTAGAGCATCTCTGAGCTTGTGCTGAAATGTGGTCTGTATGGATGGAAAGCAGGCTAAGACACCTCTAGTAGTTAGATGCTGCATGATTGTGTATGTCTGCTTTTAGGGCAAGTGTATTTATGAGAAATATATATGATAATTCTGGTGGCAAAAAATGCCCCTAAAATGCATTTGTATACACAAGTTGTTGAAAAATGAGTTAACACTGAGAAACACAGGAGCTGAAACAGGACAAAGTGGCAATTCATTGAATTCAGATGAAACTAAAAATCATCTAAAACTGAAGTTGATAAGTTGATACAAATGGTTGGCATTTAGAGGGAAATAGGTGCCTCCTTCATTCTGGTATCTTGTGTGATATCTGCTGGTCTTTTTTTTCCAGTGGTTTATGTATGCTAGGTTGTACTGTTGGAATGGGAGATACATGGTATGGAAATAACCATATAATTGGTTTGGGACATAAGTCATCAGAGGATTTGGCATTGATGGATTAAACACAGCTTTTTTCTGGAATGGCAACAAAGGAAAATGCATACATTTTCTTTGCTTACAGTGGGGAAAATATGTAAGAAGTCTGACAAAGGATGTAGTTTCTGTGATGTAGCTGCTGCAGAGTAATTGCAGATCTCGAGCTGTGTATATTACTAAGAATCTAAATAATAAGAGTTATTGTAGGAAATTCTAAAAGGACATCATAATCTTATTTAATACTTTTTTGAGAAAGAATTCCCTTAAATTTTATCTTTGAGGTACTGTGTATTCGGAGAGGGTAAACATTAGTATATGGAGTTTTCTTTAATCTTTTCCTATGTATTTTTTTTTTTATGATGAAGACCTTTGGAAACCAATGACCAAGACATAACTCTCTTTTCTGGGGCGGGTTTTAGGTGTCTTAAATAGGTGGAGACTGTCTGACTTGTTCACATCGTGGATGATCTTCACAGCGAATCTACTCAGCCATGTCGTACGGTGCAGGTTTTGGGGATCCTAATCAACTAGCCCAACGCATAACTTCTAACATCCAGAAGATCACGCAATGCTGTAAGTTGTATTTACGCATGTTTGTATATAAAACTTCAATAATGTTGGTGCCGCCCACTCAAGGTTAATTTCTCAGATTCATTCATGGGGATTCACTCTTTGGCTTCACCTGCTCATTTGACTGGCTTGTGGCACCCCACAAAGCAGATCCAGTCCTTATATGTATGGCTGACTGTGATCTATCCTGGGGAAGTATAGTATCACTCTATTTTCACCAAAGGAATAAATAATTAATAAGATGACTGCTGGTAATAAGTTGGTTTTGTCCTGGCCAGTTACGTGGCACCTTAAGATGATAGGTTGAGATGTTTGCTGAGCAAGGATTGCATCAAATATTTGCTGGAGCTTGAATTGTTTAGCAGGGACAGAAGCTGTGGCCTTGCAGCTTGCCCTTGGAAGTACATATTAAATATGTAAATAAGACTGTGCAAGTTTTAGTATGCCTGTGCTTAGATTCATGCCACCTAATTTTTTTAGCCACCTAACTGGGGCGTTCAAGTTCGAGGTAAGTTAGGCTGCTGGGGTTTTCAGTCCTTTCCACTTTCCCTCCATTTTCCATGATATTTTTAATATGTGTGTGTGTGTGTATAAAGCAAATACAACTTGATCTCAGAAATTATGTGAAGTATACTGTTCATCAGAAGGGAGGAGGCATGAACAACATATGGCTAGGTTTTGGCATGCATGTTTTTAACGTTGTGCAGGATGTACTGTGCATGCAGAAATGAGTATTTTATAATTAAAACATCAAATGAATTCTGATCAGTTAAGTATGTCAGTTTTATTAAAAAATCTGATCTTTGTTTTGGAAGACAAGTTTTAGGAGTTGCTATTTGTAGCACAGATTAATGGCACAGATCGGGCTTTTGCCTACTTTTTTCAGTGACACTTTGTATTTCCTTCCAGAAAGAACTTTAAATCTCAACAGACAGGAAGAAAAATTACAATTTTGCTTTATTGAAAAGTTTCTGTACATCAAGGTTATATTTCCTCAACCTAAAATTAACAAGCTTCCTCTGTAAAAGCCCTTATGCTTTATTTCCTAAAATCCGCTCAGAGAATTCACTCAGTCTCATGGCTTCTAACTTGGTCTTCCAGAGACACCTGCCAACCTGTGACAGACACCGAGGCTCCAAGATGTAAAAAGAAGTCTTGGTTGTCAGGTGAAAACATAAAGTGAAATCAATGGTTGAAACTGAAGCATTATGAAGACAGTCACTGAACATAACTAACCATCTTGTTCTGGACTCAGCGAGTCCTTAGTTTCATCCTGCCTCTCCCATGTCCTTCTGCTGTGTCTCCCCTCCCCTTGTGACAAACAAGGTGTACTAAAAGCAAATTGCCCAGGCTTAGATAGAAAGAGACATGCCACAGTGTTTTCCTGCAATCCTGCCTTCCTTTCCTTTTCAAAATTTAGATGGCTAAATTCTGAGCAATAGACAGGTGCTTCTGCCATTCCCAGACCCAAGTCCAAATCTCTCTTAGGCTCCATGGCTTCAGAAACAGGAGCTTTGTCTTCAAAAGCTCCATCCAAGCACTGTTCTGGGACTGGTAGGTACACAGCTGGATTCCATCCATCGCTCTTCCATGGATCTGACTGAACTGTAACCACTTGGTTGCTCTTGTAGTCCATTCTCCTTTGGTAGATTTGATGAGCGCCTCGATCCTATGGTTACACTGCATGTTTCCTGGACTGAGCTCTGTAAGGGCTTATGTACAATTTTCTAGCTATTTTATTCCCATGTGTAGTACCTGTCCAGCTTTCTGTTGGAAGGTGTGAGCAGCAGGAACTTCCAGATCAAATGGGAAGAAACCTGCAAGCTTAGGGACCTATAGAGCTAGTCAGCTGCTGAGCAGGTGTCTCTTAGACTGCAATTTATGATCTTGGTTAGAGAAGGAGAGGGGGAGAAACAGGAATCTTGACCCTAAATCCATGCTTTTCCTTCTAAGCAGTTGACTTGATTTTGCACTTCTGTCTAGAAATGCTTAGCATTTGTGAGATGTGCCAATACATTTGAAATCTTCTTGGTTAACCTGGAGTTGCGTAAATACTCTGGTTTTCTAAGTGAGATTGATAGGGTAAGAGAGTTTAATTTCAGATTACTGAACCATTTCAGGAGGTCCCTCAAAATTAATTCACACTTCTGCTGACATGGAAGCAAATTGTGAGTACTACTACAGAGATATAGATGAGATACAGATTAGTTGAAAGGAAGCTGGCTCTTCCAGCTAGAAGCTGGCCACTTTAACTTGTGGGAGAAATGCAGAAGAACTTCCCGAATTAGACAACACTGTGCTGCTGAGTTTTTGTAATACACCACAATATTATAGGAAGTAGCATTGGTCAGAACAACAACTGTTATGATAACATTTATTCAAGGTTGAATTATTACACACAACCCTTCCAAGTAATAAATTTGATCTGGTTCTTGATTAACTGTTTTTAATATACCGTACATATACAAGATAAAATATGTATGTTGAATACATCACATTTCATAATGCATCCAAATGACTCTACTGTTGTATTAATACTTGTGATCCTTACCTCCCTTCTTCCCTAGTTCATGTAGTCCACTGTTACTGATTGACAAGCAAAGCTTATTTCTACGCTGGTTTAGCACACCAATAATTAACTCACTTGCAAGATAGTATTCTTCTTGCTTTGGGTTTTTCTGTGGTAATGGAGAGGACCTATATTTGTATTGGGTAACAGCTGGGTTAGCTTAACACCTTTTAAGTTTAAAGAACAGATTTTATTGATCTGTTGATCCAATCATGCAGCTGATTGTTATTTTGAAGATGTGTTGAGGTACAAGTTGCTTCTGCATTTCCTGAACCGCTGGTGAAATACTACAGTAAATGATACCTGTAATGGGCTGTTTGAGTTTCTTTGGAGGAGAACCAAACCCAACCCAACGCCGGTAGGTGATTTTTAGGAGGTTCAAGATATCATTGAGCTAGCTAGCATATGCTGCTGTCTACACTCTGAGCTCTCTTGGAAACTTAAGCCAGGAGGACACATATATGTGTTCGGGATCCCAAACCCCAGAGCGTTCTGTGAAAAGAAGGTTCTTTCAGATGTTCTTTAAATGAGGATCTATATTCCGTTTTGCGTTTCCAGCATTTCTGTAGAAATATGTGACCATAACATCACTTAGCAACATCTAGTGACTGGCGTCTACTTTCCTCAGGCTGAAACATATTTCACCAGCAACATCTCTAAGCTGAGATTTAGGGAACTAGTCTGCATAGCGTTTCTCCATGCCTTTTATTAAAACTGTTCCACTGCGCAGCTGGAATTGCAAAACTTATGGCTTTTCTTGACATCCAGTGTAGAGCGGCAGGCCTCAGGCAAGAGAGGGAGAGTTAGGCTCTCAGACCCACTCCTAGCATTTTTAGAGAATCCATGTGACTCTGAGCAGTGCTGTAAAACCTGGGGAGCCTGAATCACATGTGCTTGAATGAGCTGCAGTGTTGTGTGCTGAACCTCCGTGAGGTCAGCGATGCCTGTGAGCTGTGTCTCGCTGGTTTGGTTTCGGGTCTGTGTTAACAGTGATGAGAAGCAGATCTGCAAACAGCTAGGGAAAGTTCAGATTTAAATAATAAAACCAAAGAAGTGTATAATGAGCTTTGGCACCTCTTAGGCTTAGGCAGCTTCTAAATTTCTGTGTTGCTAGAGTACAACTTATGATTAAGGTTTGAAAGTCTGTCTGGAATCTGGTCCAAAGTAACTGTAATTCTCATTCCAGGCCTATCTTATATCTGATAATAAAATCTAGACAACATACATTGTGCTAGGCTTTTGAAAAATGAATTTAAAGGTGGTTGAGATTTGTCCCTAACTTTCTGAATATGAAGAACAGGAAGAAGGAGAACAGAATATAAGGAGCGATGCAGGGTGTAGAGCTTCAGCCTGTCTGGGCTTTGCAGATGGAGAACCTGTTATCAAGGTGTTTTAATCAGTATTTACTGAAGGAGCAGTAATTCCAAACTGAGTTTCATAGGTTGCACTCTGACTGACGTGGCAGCTTGATGGCATCTGCTATATAATTTGAGAGAAATCTCAATGCCTTCCTTCAATATTTGTTTGAAATATTTCCTCTTGGTAACTTGTTTACTGCAACTGGATAGACGGGGAATCAGCGTGATGCACAGAAACAAGATGAGCTAGCAAAAAATATTTTTGTGACAAACCAAGTCTTGCCTGCTTACAGATCTGTATTTCTACCAGGCATGTTCATTTACCATACCAGAGATATGCCTAGTAGGATAAGAGCATCAAGTCCATGTTGTGGTGTTTTTCACCCTATCCTTCTCTTCTTGAAGAGCATGTAGCAAATTGTACAAGATGAAATCTGATCTTTCAATAAATAGAAAGGTGAAAGCAGAATAAGTAAAACAAACAAAAAGCCTAATTTAAAAGCTTTAAGATATGTTAATTTCAGATGTCTTACAACTGTGAATATGAGGGTGAGCAGTTCTTTGAAATTTGACAGATTTCTGCATTTTAAAGACTTGATTGTGTGTAGCAAAAAGAGGGAAAACTTTTTGTTTGAAAAGGTGTTCCCAAGAGGGAGCAAAATGGGAGTCGCTTTCATCTACAGGGACAAATCCATAGTTATAAGAGTAGGAAGGATATGGTTGGAGGATTTGGGGCCTCTCCTACTCAACTGGAAAGATTTGACTTGTGTTTCTGACAGGAACTGTGCAAGAAGAAGTAACCAGCCGTGGTTTTTCTTCCCCCACATACGTCTTCTCAAGTCTCTCTCCCATGTGTCAGTCATTAAGGAAGCAGAGTTGTATGCTTTTGTTTTGCTTTGCTCCTAATACTTTCTTTGTAGCTACCGAATATGTCCCTCAGTGCAATCCCTGAAGAAAAGCAAGAACGATACAGGCTAGATAGACAACTATCATGTCTCCACTGGCATCTTAAGCCAGGCTTTGAGAGCTGTTGGTTTAGAAGCAGTTCAGAACGCTGCCTTTGGCTTGGGAACACA